GCTATCATTCTCTCTAACTCTTGGAATGGGTAAAATATCGTTTGACCCCTCCATGGTCTCCATTACTTATGTTGACCAAACCCTAAAGTCAACAGAAGTTAAACTCGAGTTCAACAGTCTCATATTGACCTAACTTGTCAAGTGCACTCATGTGACTCGTCGAGTCCAGTCATTCCTCAGCAGTCTTCATGAGGGTCCAGCTCATCAAGTTAACTCCTAACTCGCCGAGTAACAACATAGCCAACTCATCGGGACAAACCCTAACCGACTCGTCGGGTCGGCTCCTCGACTCGGCGAGTCCGTTCAGATTATTTTCTTCTTCAGACGATTACAAGGCAGAAAACCTTCCTATACTCTAGATCTATACTCCTACGGCTCATTTATCATGTAAGGTCATAGACTTTGCATCCATGCATGGCACTTAGGGCTTTAAATGCTAAAACATGCCTTAAAAAGGGTTTTTCACTCAATAGCATTATTATGGCTAGATAAAGAAAGAGCTTTTGGACTCTAGGGACCTCACATGGTCCAGATCTGAAGTTGAAACCTCAATATGAACTCAAAACACTCTAGGTCCTCATACTAGATAGAGAAAGCCCTAAACTCCCAAAATCATGAGATCTACTCAACAAAATGAGAAAGGTGTAAGCTTTATACCTTTCCTAGAAGCTTTGAGGTGAAATAGCCACATATCGAGCATCTCCTTCTCGTATCTTGGCATGGAATCCTTCTCTTCTATTCAAAAGATGCACCAAATACTCAAGGTTAGCTAAAAACTCTGTCTCTCTAAGCTCACATACCAATTAGGGTTTACTCTCAGGGAGGTATAGTCGTAAATGAGGCTATAAGTGCCTTTAAATAGGCCCCTAACCTGGGGATTTAGGGTTTCTTATGACAACATCTACTCGGCGATTCGGCTCTCAGACTCGTCGAGTAAGTCATTAATGCTACATGGTGCATCGCGACTCTACTTGACGAGTTATAGCACCGACTCGTCGAGTAGCTCTAAGGTCTTCAAAATAAATGAATAAATAAATAAATAATATGCCTGGAAGTTCGGATGTTACAATTCTCCCCACTAGAATCAGACTTCGCCCTCAAGTCATGATTTGGAAATAACTCTGGACACTGTTATCGCATATCGGACTCCGACTCCCAAGTCAACTCGGACCTTCTCTGATGTTGCCACTAGACCTGAACCAGGGGTACCTCTTTGTTCCTCAGAACGTTCACCTTTCGATCCATGATCGCAATCGGTCTCTTAATGTAATTCAAGCTCGTATCCAACTGAATGTCCTCTAATGGCACCACTGTCGTTTCATCGGCTACACACTTCCTCAGTTGAGACATGTGGAAGGTGTTATGAATCTAACTTAACTCCACAGGTAGCTCCAAATGGTACGCTACCTTACCCACTCTGCCAGTCACCCTAAAAGGACCGATGTATCGGGGCCCTAGCTTGCCCATCTTACTGAATCGGATCACCCCTTTCCATGAGGATACCCTCAGGAGGACAAAATCTCGAACCTGAAACTCAAGCTCGGATCGTCGCTTGTCTGCATAACTCTTCTAGTGACTCTGGGCTTTTAGTAACCTCTGTCTAATTTGCTGAATTTGCTCAGTCATCATGAGCACTATCTTAGTGCTACCCATCACTCCTGCTCTTCCTCTCCCTAACAGATAGGAGTCCGACACCTCCTCCCATAAAGAAGCTCAAAAAGAGGCGTACCAATATATGTGCTCAAAGCATGTCCTCGAGCGTCTGAATCGTCTGCTCACTCTGCCCATCTGTCTGCGGGTGGTAGGTTGTACTGAAGTGCAATCATGTACCCAAATCCTCATGAAACTTCTTCTAGAACCTGGACGTAAAGCACAAATCCCGGTCTGACAATATCGATGTTGGCACTCCATGTTGAGCTACCACCTCTATGACATATATCCCGGTCAGTTTCTCCGCAGAAGAACTCTAACTAATAACCAGGAAGTGAGTCCTCTTGGTCAACCGATCCAAAATCACCCAAATCATGTTGACACGTCGTGCAGTCCTTCGCAATTTGGTGATAAAATCCAGGGAAATTTGATCCCACTTCCATTAGAGAACCTCCAGTGGCTACAACTTGCCATGAGGATGCTAGTGCTCGACCTTAACCCGACTACCCCAACAACGTCCTTCTTCATACAGGGCCACTAATATTCTGTCTGCAGGTCCAAGTACATATTAGTGGCTCATGGATTGATCGAGAATGTCGATCTATGCGCCTCCTCCATCAGAATACGATGAGTTCTGCCAGTATAGGCACCTAAATCTGCCCTCGGAAAGTCATAAGCCTACGACTGTCCGTCACAAATTCAGACACCTACCAATCACCCTCTTCCTCTTGCAGTTCTCTGGTCTCATGGGCTCCATTCGGGCCTCTTGAATAGTATGTTAGAATGGATTCATCACCATCATTCTCATAAACACATCTCGGATCGGAGCACCCTCTACTCTACAGCTCAGGGAGTCGGCTACCATATTATCCTTGCCCGGATGGTACAGGATCTCACCGTCATAGTAATTTATCACATCGAACCACCTCCTCTATCTCATATTTAGGTTGGCCTGATCCATGAGGTACTTCTGGCTCTTGTGGTCTGTGTATCTGGTACACCGAACCCCATACAGATTGTGGCGCCAGATCTTAAGGGCGAACACTACCGCCCCCAGCTCTAGATCCTGGATGGGATACCTGGTCTCATGATGCTTCGACTGCCTCGATGCGTATGCTATCACATGCCCCCTCTGCATCAACACTGCACCCATCGCTGAAATAGACACATCACAATAGATTACGAAGTGCTCCACTCCCTCTGGGAGGGCTAGCCTGGAGCTTCGCATAATCTCTAGCGAAGAGTCTTGAATGATGCTTGCTGCTCGGGCCCCTAAACAAAAGTAATGCCCTTCTAGGTCAGTCTGGGGAGAGGCACTACTAGAAAATAGCCATTTAACGATGCACAAACAATGATACGTGGTGATTTACGATACGCAAAAAGCATGTGCCCTAAAAATAATGTCATCTCTTCTAAAATTTGAAGGATGGAGGACACATATTTTTGTGTGCCCTGAAATTAGTGTCAGAAAAGAAAAAAAAGAAATACGGAGGAAGGCCATGATAAAATGTGTGTCATCTAACACTGTTGCTTTATATATATATATTTTAATAAAACACGCGTTTTGAGCGGGTAATGAAATCCCAAAAACTAAAACCCTTCCTTGAAAAATTTAAACCCCTCCTCTTCCAATTATCAAGAAAGAAGCCTAGGGTGTTCGTCTTCCTTTATCTCTCTCTAACCTAAAATCCAACTTGCGATTTCATTAAGATCTCGCTTGGCTTCACATATCTCACTTAAAATGTAATAACAATCAATCGCTAATAAGCTGGAGTCGGATAAACTTGTTGTGTGCACAGATGTTGAGGATTTCAATCACACACCTCGCCTTTCTTATAAAATCTTTGGTACACACAGGAACACATAAACCCTAAAAGGCTTAAACACATGCGCGATCTCATAAACCCTAAAAGGGCTTAAACACCCACGCCTTTCTTGTAATCGCTCGTGATGCTAAACTTCCTAAAAGAGTTCTTCTCTGGTCTTATCATCTTCCTGGGTGGTTGAACTTCTGTCATCGCTCGGGATCAATCTCACCCTCCTATTCACCACTCTACATCGTTACTTGTTACTCCACACCATACTGGTTCTTATCGTGTTCTGTATCTTCTTCATTCTCTTATTAGAGTACTGTACGTTTCCCTTTTGCTTTGATTTGTCGCACACAATCACTACATAGTACAAACTACATTATAAGATTAGATATTAACTTTTGAGTTTTTTTTTGCGAGATACCTATATTGATAAATGACTTACATTTGTTATCAGCTGGCTTTTTTTATCACGATAATTTTAGGCTAGTTGTAGAACAAGATAGATTGAGCACATTGCCAGACGAGCTTATTCATAAGACCATGTCTGGGTTGACATGAAATTGTTGTTGAAACATGTTTGTTGTCATCAAGATGGAAGCTTCTCTGGACATCAATGCCCTTTGTTACACTTGATGCTTACATTTTTGAGGTGTTGTGATTAGTTTTTTATGGTTACAACAACAAAATATATATTGGTATTTTCAGTTCTGCATATATATATATATATATATATATATATATATATATAAAATGGCCTTCGTTGACTGGTGTTGTTCAATCATGACTAGGAAAAGTACAGTAATGGAGTTAGGGATCGGGACCCGCTCATGGATTCCCCTACCTAACAAAAAATTATAATAAGTGTTTTATTGTATTCCTTATTCACATAATTCTAGGCATAAATAATTTATAAAATGGCCTTGGTTCACATGTGTTGTTCAATCTTAAACCTGAGAAACTGCTATTGAGAATCTACTATTGACTAATATTTTCAGCACCAGATTTAAGATTGTTTTTTAAATAGGTTTTATCTGGGAAACTATATGTTGGGCCCGAGGCAAATGTATGGAGCTATGGTGTTATCTTGTATGCTCTTCTTTGTGGTACCCTTCCTTTTGACGACAAAAACATTCCCAACCTTTTTAAGAAAATTAAGGTCTGTCAGTTTATTATTTGATAAATTCCCATTTATACCTTTCTCATTTTGATTTGTTGTTTAAAGGTGGAATATATACCCTTCCCAGTCATTTGTCAGCTGGTGCTAGAGGTTTGATTCCAAAGTTGCTTGTGGTTGACCCAACGTGAAAAAGAAGGAAGGAGAAAATAGGTAAAAGGCTTCTATCTTTATACATTAAGCCGGACTTTTTTAGTCATTCTTTCCCGATTATGTTCTTAACCCGATAAGCCCATTTAGTCAGAAAGAAAAAACCTCTAACATTATTTGATAAATTCTTATATTATACTATTTTTTCTTTTCACAAGGGTTATTAAGGGTTTGAGATCACATATTCAGATTCAAAAGAGAATATCTCTATAATGTTCAATGCACAACATGGATCATTCTTTCTTTCTTCTCTACTAATGCAACTTTGGAATCCCATGTGGAATGAGATTTCAATCTCTAAAATGGAAGGAAGGTCTAATGAATTGATTATAAGAGGTCCTTTGGAAGCTATCGATTTTGCCATCAAATCACTCAAGTACATCGGGTACTCAAAATTCAACCAATCTTTTCACTACTTTCCCTTTACTTTGATTCCATCAAACCACTCAAATATATTAGGTACTCAAAATTCAACCATATTTTTCACTACTTTCCCTTTACTTTTGAGTTTTAACCGATTATATGATATTTATAAATCAGGGAGGGGAACTTCAGTGGTGAAGATACTGTTAGGGTTACCACCATGAACAAGCATGGGAAGCATGATTTGCATATTTCAGTCATTGTCAACCCAAGAAATGATCCTCCATTTATTAGTGGTGAAGATACTGTTAGGGAGGGGAACTTCAGTGGTGAAGATTCTGTCTCTTCTTGATAAAATCCTTCCAATCTATCAGTATGCTTCTTTTTCTTAATAATTTTCATGTTCTTTACAATAAAATAAAATCCCAGTTTCATTAAAACAAGAATTACCCCAGCAGGGAAGTGATTGTTGAGTTAAAGGAATCAGGTACTACATGGATCCATGTTGACGAGGCTACCCTTGTGAAGGATCTTGAGGGGTACCAATTGGAAGCTTTCACCAAGGCCTACTTTGAGCTAAAATTAGCCTTCTCTGGTCTTAATGTTATTGTTGCCACCTACTTTGCTGATATTCCAACTGAAGCATTCAAAACCCCAACTTCATTGCCGGGAGTTGTTGGTTTCAGTTTTGATTTGATTCGTGGTGAAAAGACTCTTAACTTGATCTAGAGCAGCTTCCCATCAGGGAAATATCTTTTTGCTGGAGTTGTTGATGGAAGGAATATTTGGGCTAGTGATTTTTTCTTTTTCCTTATGTATATATATATATATATATATATATATATATATATATATATATATACACACACACATATATATATATATACATATATATATGTGTGTGTGTGTGTGTATATATATATATATATATATATATATATATATATATATATATATATAATCACTGTTAAAAAAGTTGATGCTGACACCTATATTCTCAGGTCACTACTTTGAGAGGCTCAGACCACCGTCGTGCCACCAATATCAGTACCAGGCTGTATGCCCAACAGAAATTACACAAAATTACACGAAAATTAGGTGATGCTAATGGTTAAGCACCAATAAGATATAATCTAGATTCTAAAATAGGTGATGCTGATGGTTTAGCACCAGAAAGTTGTTGCAAGAAGTCGTATAGTATTAGATGACAAAAAATCTATTAGGTTACCAATTTCCCATATGGTCTACAACCAAATGCCACCTGTTGGAGACAAGCCAAGCCTTATGACATTTTGTGAGGTACATCCATCCATCCATACATGCATACTGCATAGCAAAATGTGATAATGAAAATATGATGTAATGAAATGTGTGCAAACTTGTGTTGTGTATATTTTAAGTTTGGGCATATATTTTTGGTTATTAATTTAGGTGCATACCACTCTTTTACGTGCATGGGAGATATGAGGAGGTACACTGTTGTATTATTACCTTTGGTTTTCTTGTATATACCTTACCTTTTGAGGTGGTTGGATTCGTCAGGAATTGGAATTAAATTCCATTTGATTCAAAAAATCCTACCAGTGATTCCATAAATTCATGTTATTTCAATTCCAGTTTCTTCAAATATACAAGCATACACAATCTAAGCCCCATTATTAACGTTATAGTACGCTGGTTATCATCAAATTTTGTAGTTGGATCTTCTGCCTACCAAAAGAATGATAGATTCCAATTCTTCTTCAATTTCAGTTCCTGTCAAAACATTGCTAGTGTTGAATACAAGGTATGGGAATATATGTCTTTTCACCAATCTTTTTGCATATTCTTAACTTATCCAATTATGGCAGGTTGATCCTGCTACATGGCCAATAATGATCTTTAGGGGCTGCTAGAAGTATTAGAGATTGCAGTTAAGCTTATATCTAAGACTTCATGCCAAGGACTTGATGAATTTAAGCTAGCAATGTTTTACATGATTTGGACATGAACCCTAAGACATCATACTTTGCCGTAACTAGAAGCTTTGGAGGAAATGAGACTCAAGCAAAAGCAAACACACAGAGAGTTGTTGGCACATAGTAAGCTAGATAATGCAATTCTATATAAATTCTGCTTCTCTTGAGTTCATTTTTTTATAACATTTACACACTATTGGAATAATTATTTGAATTTGACATATCAGTGAAACGCATTATCTTTGTTATTTATGGTATTATATTTTGTATTATGAGATTTTTAATGTGTTATTTAATTTGAAAATTAGTAAATCACTCAAAATATATCATTTTCAAAACATTTAAATTTATGACACGTAAAAATGTGTGTCGTCTTTCTTTATGACAGGGGCTTTAATGATACGCAATGCGCGTCATAAATGTGTGTTGTAAGGTGACGACACACAAATGCGTGTCGTCTTCTTTGTGATAGGTCCATCCTTGACACACATTGTGTGTCGTAAGAGAGTGTTGTAAATAGACGACACCCAAAAACGCGTTGTTTGTCGTTATGACAGGGGCTTCCTTGACGCGCATTTGCGTGTCGTTGGAGCGTTTTACGATGCACATTATGCATCGTAAAAGGCTGTTTTTCTAGTAGTGAGGAACCGCAATCTTGGAGATATCTTTGAAAAATATCTGATAGTAGTCAGCCAATCCGAGAAAACTCCTGATCTCAGGTGGGGATCTCGGCACCTCCTATCTCATAACTGCCTCGATCTTGGCCGGAGCGACCAATATTCCATTCTGATTAACGAGATGTCCCAGGAATTGGACATCTCGTAACCGGAAATCACACTTGGAGAATTTGGCATACACCCTCTCTGACCTCAAAACCCCAAGAACCTCGCGCAGATGCTCCTCATGATGCTCTTTGGATCTTAATATATTATGATATCGTCGATGAACACGATCACCGACCGGTCCAACATAGGTCTACATACCCGATTCATGAGATCAATGAATGTTGCTGATGCGTTGGTGAGCCCGAAAGGCATCACAACGAACTTGTAATGCCCATAACGAGTTCTAAAGGCCGTCTTCGGAATATCCTCCTCGCATACTCTCATCTGGTGATATTCAGATCTCAAATCAATCTTGGAAAACCAAGATGCCCCCTACAGTTGATCTAATAAATCATCGATCTTCGGAAGTGGATAACGGTTCTTGACCGTCAGCTTGTTCAAATCCTGATAATAAATGCACATTCGGTGCGAACCATTCTATTTCATGAAAAAAGGATCCGTGCTCCCCCAAGGCGAGCTACTCGGCCTGATAAACCTTTCCCCAGCAGCTCCTGGAGTTGTGAGGATAACTCATGCATATATGGAGGCACAAGGTGATAAGGTGCCTTGGCGATAGGTGCCGCTCACAGAATCAAATCAATCCGGAACTCCACTTGTCTCTCGGGAGGCACACCTAATAACTCCTATAGAAAAACATCTAGAAATTCACTCACTATCAGAACCTCGGCAATGGAACTCGATCTCTCGGTAACAACCCGCTTATCCATCACATATGCTAGAAAACCTATACAACCCTATTGCAAACTCTGCCTTGCCCTGTCAGTAGAGTAGAAAGTTTTCCCAGATCTGGTACCCTCACCATACACTGTAAGCACTCCCCCACTAGGGGCTCATATAGTTACCAACTAATGATCACAGTCGATCATTGCTCGAAAATGGCTCAACCAACACATGCCCATGATGACACAAACATCCCCCATCGCAATAGGCACCGGATGAATCGGAAATTCAGCACCAAAGATCTCCAAAACACTTCCTTGAAACACATCAATAGCAAAAACCTCATGCTCGTCTGCTATGAAAACCGTCAGGGGTTGAATCAACATCTGACATTGGACACAAATGTGATGACTAAAAGCTAAAGAAACAAAGGATCGACTAGCACCCGAGTAAAATAACACCAAAGCAGGTACAAACATCACAGGATATGTACCTAAGTATAGCACAGAATAAGCATAATAAATCTCAAAATAAATAAATAAGGAAATACATACCAGCCACGTCATCAGGTGTTACGAGGACCTCCTCCGCTCTCAGTTGAATATCTCTCGCACGAGCCCTCAAAACCTCAACCTTCACTGGCCGAACATCAGCAGCAAATAATGCAGTAGGTGTGAACCCTAGGCTGATCCCTGAGCTAGCTATGGTGTAACAACTATAAATTTTATGCCAAATTTAAACTTTTTCAATCATAAATAAAAACCACATAGAATTATTTACAAAATGTTTTCATATCATTTTCCATCAGAGTGTCCCAAAAATCATAACATAAGGATGAGGAGCGATATGATCATGCCATCTCCTTTCCACGATCTCCTAAAGTACCTGTAACAATAAACTGAAAACTATAAGCCCGAGGGCTTAGTGAGCTAACCCCAAAAAACCAAATACCACACTAACAATACCACAACAGTAATAATCAATTCGATCAACATGCATACTGGGCCATCGGCCTGACTGGACCGCCCTACCGGGCCTACAATATATCTGAATCCATCCCGAGTCTTCGGTATGACTGGTCCGCTACATGGGCCTACAGTCTCCCCGGACCGCTCATAGGGTATACTAGCCTTCAACACAAAGCAGGACCGCCTCAAACCAGCCACAAGCAAATAACCATATGTGCATACTATCATATACATGCATACTGATGAGATTAAACTTTCATTTAATCTATGAAGATCGATTAGATCTTGAACAAGTAAATAAACAATGACGATATGAACACAATAAAAGAACAGGACAAGATTGAATCAAACGTGTCGAATGATTAAAACAAAATCCTCAGAAGAGCTCGATTAAGAACATCAACTGTAGAGGATTGGAAGGTTACAAGAACGATCAAAGAAACCTTTTGTCGTCTGGAAAAATCGTTATACTCAGATCTCTAAAACCTTAACCTAATATGCATGCAAGCATTAGCTTATATACAAAGCATAAAAGACTCACGGTTGGACAGGCCCAAACCAGAATACAAAATAACATAAACAGATGAGCCCAAAAGACGCAATCTTCAAAGCCCAACAATCTCCCCCTTTGCGTCAATTTGGGGCGAGACCTTCACTCACTTTTCAAAGCAGATGGCTTCTTTACCGTTTCAAAAATTTTCGGTATCAAAGCCAGAATATGATGCCTGAAGGTAATATACCAACGAAGCATATCTGTAAAGTTCTTTTTATCTGCTGTTGAGTTCTGTTTGCATCAGTGTATGATATTGATGATGTGCTCCAGACACTCTGTAGAGAACAGATGCTTGTCTACCAAAGCAAACAGAAACTTGTGCTTGTCGCCCCTGGTGAACATAATCGTCAGATTGGAAGAATCAATCTTCCCCAACTTCATTTTATGAACATCTCCGGTCTTGGAAGTGGGCTTGACAGTTGGTTTCTTGTTCATCACTTTTTCTATTTCCTGATCCATAGTGGCGAGCTCATGGACGTAGGAAGACAACATTCTTTTAAGATGAGAAAGAATTGGTTCATATTCTCTCTGGTTGGAGAGAAGAATGTTGTATAGCAAGATCCAATCGTGTGGGTTCAGACTGGGAAGATCTACCAGAGAAATAAGATGTTCGGTGTTAGCCGTTCCTCTGTTGATTTTGAAATTGACGTTCACAAATCTCCCAGCCTGGGTTGGTTTCAGTACCTTGACTTTAATAATTTTCTGGGCACTCCAAGTCAAGTACTGCGGTTGACCGAATTTCAGA